TCTTTAGGTTAATCAGAGTTGAGGGTTTTTATAGTAGGACTAAATCAACTTAATTAGTCTTCATTTAATCCCCACTTACCCCTAAACCACTTAATTATTCAAATGAATTTAATTTAAAACGTGTAGGAATTTGGAGATCCCATCGACGGACCATTGGTCCACCGACAATTCGTGTTGCACATCCGTAAGTTCGGTCAGAGACTAGTGCAGGCGAGGCTTTTCTCCAATTTTCTAAGTGTGGGACGACTGTGGCATCGACGCCCCGTCGATCCACACACGGACCGTAGCCTGCGCCCCCGCACTCCGTTGATGATTCCAGAAACTATGAAGGTGAAGGGACCTTCTCCACCAGCCTAAGTGTGGGGCGACGGTGGCATCGACGCCCCATCGATCCACACACGGGCCGTCGTCTGTCCCGTCGATGCACACTGACAGGCAGTGCTGCATCAAATTACAACGGTCCTCCTCAAGGGCCCTTGGTTGGTCCTTGGGGAGTCGTACCCGGATGTTTTAATCATGGAACAACTCAAACACCCATTAGTTGCCTTTCCACTAATTTTCGTACATTTCCGACTCCTAAAAGTTAGTCAAAAGGCTAAGGTACACTAACATCCCTTTGCACTAACTTCCCCAACGTTTTGGACATTGTGGTTCTTATATATCCTAAATGACCTATATTCACTAAAAATATACTTAGAAATAGTGTTTAGACTTTATGACACCTATGTTAGGCTTTACAATAAGTCTTGGATTTTCAAGGTGTTACAACTATGGACACCTCATGGGTGAAATATTATATTTAGAAGGCACCTCAATGATTGGGAAATTCCAAGATTTACAAAATTCTTCTGCGTCATTGAACAATTTAGTGTCTTGGAGATAGGAAAAGACATATTACAGTGGTTAGGGAACAATACTGAGACTTTTTAAGTAAGTGCAACATATAGGAAGTTGAGCCACCCAATTATGCAGGCACCAAAATGGCCCTGGAAACACATTTGGAAGGCCAAGATCCCATACAAAAGTGGTTTGTTCATCCAGTGCAAGGTCACTGGCCATTTGTGGAGTCAATTCCTAAGGAGCTAAAAAACATCTCATGGATCATGTGGTAGAATTGCAGATGCCTTATACAACTGGAAAGAAGTAGAATTACAAGTACAGAATAGAAGAACTGGAGAATCATTCCCTCTACTATTTGGTGGACTATAGAGAGAGTAATATGTAATAAGTAAAATTTAATTGTATTCTAACTTTGTGTTTTTGGTGTAATCAGATCTACTCTAATGACACTGTCTCTATTATTGATGGTTAAAACTCATTATAGGGATAGGACAGTGCCATTGAAGTTCATTATGTATATATGATTTCATTACAACCCATGTATTGATTTAAAGAAATAAGAAACAATTAGCAATCTAAAAAAATATTTCATGGTCAAATATCAATTTTCAAATAAAGTGAATATTATATATATATATATATATATATATATATATATATATATAGGTGGATCATAAAAGTAAAGTTAAAAAAACAATGAAATATAAGGAATTTTTTTAAAGTACAATAAATGAAAAATGGAAGGAAAAGAAACAAAAATAGTTTTAATGATCAATTAACTTGAATATTTTTATGCCCATAGCCTTTAATTATAGAATAATAAAAATTACAGTTTGTAAGACATTTTCTATTTAACCAAATAAGGAAAATATAATTATTATTATCCTTTAAACAAATTAAGATAATAATTAAATTGATTTCCAAATAAAATTTTTTTAAAAAAGGAAGAAGGGTGATAAAGCATAGATCCCACAAACAAAAATAAAATAGGAATAAAATAACCCACCCCTTATAGAGTTGGGAACCAAAATAAGCCACAAAAATATAAAAGTAATCAAAATAAGTCACTATTTTAGTATATAACTAAAATAAGTTTAGTGGAAAAAAAGTTCCACTATATCCAATTTTCTAAACGTTTTTCGTTAGTGTGATAACATTTATTTTTAATATATAATAGAACTTTTTCTTCCACTTTATAAAGTGAAACTTTTTATTCCATTTTACCTTTTCACCTTCACCTTCACCTTCTCTCCCTTTCCTTTTCATGGCTCCCCAAAAAAATTCACTTTGAAGATGGTCCCAATCCGACATGTTGGAGAGGCCCCACACTAAACAAATCGAAAATTTAGAGTAGCACAACCTGACAACATACAACTCATATTCGTTGCTTTAGGTGCAAAAATAGATAAGATTGTAGCCTTGTACTTGTAGGGAAATTTTATCTTTTTTAGAATGTGATTTTGGTTTGATTTACTTTTAACCTTAGACTTAATTTAGTGTTGGTTAGGAAGGCATCTAAATTCATTAATAGAAAACTTTAGGTTACACATCCTATAAAAGTTTTAATAGTAACACTACTTCAAAATCATATGAAAATAAAATAAAATAAATTAAGAGGCAGAATAACGTAAAATATAAGACAAAATAAAAGTATCTATGTCATAAAGTACACAAAAATTTATCTTTTTGTCTAGCTTTAAGTTGAAACATTTTCTGATTATTTTCTTTCAAAAAAATATCAACAAATCTTCTATAATTTTCCCATATGGTGGATGTTATTGTTTGACTATTTCTGCACCAATATGTGTCTTGACTATCAACATACAAGTGACTACTCTTTCAGGACTAAAGTGTTTCAAAGCTTCCATGAACCTCGGCAAGTCGGCAAAAGAACCCTTCCAATACCATAAACTTTTTCAAAAGCCCGCTTGCAACCAAGATAGGCTTTTCTTTACTTATTGAAATTTCATATGCTTTAAGAACAACTGTTTGACAATCTTTGATGGAAAACCTAAAATTAATAATAATATTAATTATCAAATAAAAAATAAATATTTCCTTATTAAATAAAAATCATCTAGGGATAAAATATTACCTGGGCGTTCTTTCTATATCAACACGGAGGACTTAGCAATCATCTCAACATCCAAGTTGAAATGCCCTTCGATGCACGTACCCATATCACATATATGTTCTTTAATGTATCTTCCAACTTTCTTCATGTTAGTATGTTTATCAATAAAAGAAGTCAACCTAAATCGGCATCCTTGTTCTACACGCCTGCAAACAAGTCGTCATGATCTCTTTGTTGATTTAATAACAAAGCACTCCCTTACTATCTTCAAATGTAGCAGTTTAACTGCTCTGTGCAAATGCTTCTTTGAATTTAATAACATGTCTTTTTCAATATAAATAGCATCATTCACGAAATCTTCTGGTTCATGCCACGCACGTTGTGATGTATACTCATCATGTGTATTACCAAAGATATCTGGACTATCCGGGAGATGATCAAGATAAGGAATTTCATGATTACAAAACGGACTCATGGACATTAGTCTTGGCGATCAGTTGGGAGTCAAAAAATCATCATCACTAGATTATGCCTCAAATGAAACATTATCTCCTGATTCCTCAGCATTAGGCAAATCAACACTATCACTAGCTGAAGGTGAGCCGTAATTAGGAAGGTCACCATCATCGATATTCACAGTATCAATGGGCTCATCTTGTGTAATATTTTTTCTATATGTGTAAAAATATATCTAAATATTTGGCCCATGCAATTAATTTACTCAAATAAAAAAAAAGTGTTAGACATAGCGATAATCATCTGCATCAAAAGTAGGCGAGATATGAAAATTTGAGGATGTCCCAACATTTTCCTTCATTTCAAAGTGTGAGGACTGCCTAAAATAATTATTTAGTCCATAACTTGGAGCAATATTCCTATCTTGCTTAAGTAAACCGCTACAATATATATAATAATAAGAATAATAAATAATATAAATTAATAAATAATTGACAAATCAACAAACAATAATCGAAATATAATAATTGAGCATTACCGATCACTTTAATTGATAGTTTCGTTTAAATCAAAATCATATCGGCTGGTAAGAATATTTTGATAATGTGTCATTTTAGGAAAATCAGTAGATTCGATTATTGGAAATCCATCAATGCTATTACGATTTTCTAATTAGGGATGGACATCGACTGATAAAGGAGAACATTGTTGACTAATCTTAGGATCCTTCCTAACATATATTTCAAGTATTGTTAACTTGATTTGATCTATATAGTCATTTGGAACCCTCAAAAAGTCGGTCAACGATTCGTCATTATAGATAATCCACTCTCCAAAATTTACTTGTTCTTGTGATAAAAATGAAGTAGGGCATTTTCCGACTATAATCAAATTATAATCCGTACTGTTTATACGCATTCTTTTATAAATTGATGAAATAAATTTATGATATCGGACATTAATTGGATATTTAGCATTGTGTTTAGGAGGACAATTATAATAAACGGTATTTTCGTCATGTATAGTTTCGTCATCCCAATAAAATGAAACTTTAACTTTAGGTGTAGATGACATTTTTTTAGATCGAAATGAACAAATATATAAGACTTTATGTTGTAGGTGCTATCAACTACATATAAACATCCTTAAATAGAGATTGAAAGATTTTTCAGAATAAAAAAATAAAAATACATAATGAAATATTTTTTTCCGTTTTAATGACATATCAAAATCAATATAATTTATATGACAACACTGAAAAAGCTTCTTAAAGACGTGAAAAATATTCTTCTTATAAAATGTAATAAAAAGTAGAATAAAAAATTTCACTTTATAAAGTACAATAAAAAATTCCACTTTATAAAATGGAATAAAAAGTTCCACTTTATAAAGTGGAAGAAAAAACTCCACTTTATAAAGTGTAAGAAAAATTTCCGTTATATATTAAAAATAAACGTTATGACACTAACGAAAAACGTTTAAATTATTGGATATAGTGAAACTTTTTCTTACACTAAACTTATTTTATTTACTTACTAAATTAGTAACTTGTTTTGGTTACTTTTATATTTTTGTGTGTTATTTTGGTTCCCAACTCTCCCTCGTACAACTAGTAAAATTTTTCCATTTGTATAGAGATCCTCCAATTGTGCAAGTCCAAGTGCCACAAAATTTCATCGTCCAGCTTTGCGTCTCTACTCTGTATCCTTAGCCCTCTTTGTTGACCGCAAAGCTCAAAATCGCCATGGGAGATGTCAGAGGAAATTCCAATAGCAATCGGCCAGAGTGGTTGCAACAGTATGATTTGATAGGGAAAATTGGGGAAGGGACTTACGGGTTGGTTTTTTTGGCTAAGATCAAAGCTAACCGTAGCAAATCTATTGCTATCAAGAAGTTCAAGCAATCCAAGGACGGTGACGGCGTTTCCCCCACCGCCATTCGCGAAATCATGGTCCCACTCTCTCTCTCTATCTATCCCACTTTCCCCTTTTTTTTTGTTTCTAGTAAACACTATTATCATTAAGAACGACTATCTTGATGCAGTTGCTTCGGGAGATATCCCATGAGAATGTTGTAAAGCTTGTCAATGTGCATATCAACCAGGCAGATATGTCTCTCTATCTCGCTTTTGACTATGCCGAGCATGACCTCTATGTCAGTATACATTTTGTTCCATTTGTCTAAACTCTAATCTAAACTATATTCCCTTCCATACGTGTTTACCTTATTTATTGTGGATTTTAAACTATACAAACTCCAGCAAACCTTAAAGGTTATGATTTTGAGTTTATATACCCTTTTGGGGACTTTTTATTCAATCAATGTGGGGCTACTATTTATACCACGTGTGACCTGATTTTGGGATTTACACATGACATTAATGCAATGTTAGGAGTGCCATATTCACGCCACAAATATTTATACCGTGTGAAATTGTTCGAGCATCAAACTTAAAACCTTTAGGTGATGGGATAAGTAGTACTAGACTTCTATATCCCTTAACAAAACCTAAGCGGGATGACTATATAACTGGGTAAAAACAATAGATAATGATAAGGTCTCTTCATTAATAGCAAAAACATAAAACGAAAACCTCTAGTCATCGAAGCCGGAGACTAGCTTTGGACCAAAACAACTGATGACGAAACTAACACAAGGAAATCAGAAAAAGAAGAAATGAGAAATTAGAGATATAATTTCAAAAGACATGATAAATTCTAGTAAAGGTAGCAATTATTCAGCCACAAGTTTAGAGTAGTAGCCAACAAATTAAAATTCAGTCACTAGAATAGAATCCAGGGGGAGGAGCAATTGATTTCATATAACAATACACACTAGAAGTATTCAAGAAAGTTTTAGTTGAAGGGCACTAACATTAAGGAAGGCTCCCTCAGGGCCCCTCAAGAGAATTCATAAAAAAACTCTAGGTTACTTCTATTTATGCTATTAGCTTAATGATGGGCTTGGGTCCAAGTCCAAGTACTTTAACATAATAAAAGTCCTAACATAACTAAATGAATTGTGAGGCAAGTGGGGATATGTGGGACCATGCTTCTCCCTAGAACTGTAATGGTAGTTGCTATCTCATCTATTCAAATATAAAACTAATTATATCCTTATCTCTGCCTTCTTGAATAATATGCCTGTATCTTTTGCTCCTAATGTCTTAATTATCTATGTGGGGGGCAATTGTCATCTGACTCCATTGTCCATTTGAAACCTTCATTGACCTTAGGAAATTATCAGACACCATAGAGACAAGGTCATTCTTTCAATCAATCCGTACACTGTAAAGTCTCTGTTATGGCAGCTGCTTAATGGTCTCAATTATCTTCACAGGCAAGACATGTTTGTTAAATTTCTTTGTTACTTTATCTTTTGCATTTCGTTGTAGTAATTGGATTGTTGCTTAGTGTTATCTTTTGCATTTCCTTGTAGTAATTGGATTGTTCATCGAGACCTAAAGCCATCAAACATCTTGGTATGGTTCTGGCTTGTCTATCCTAATTTCTCTTCTTTACATTTTCTTACAGTAGCATTGGGCCATATGAAATTCTTGTAATTAAAACATCCCTAACTTTGTATCCTTCACTTCCCTTTACAGGTAATGGGCGAGGGAGAAGAACATGGAGTTGTTAAAATTGCTGATTTCGGCCTTGCAAGAATTTATCAAGCTCCACTGAAACCATTAGCTGAGAATGGGGTGAGTTACTCCTGTTATTGCGACTATAACTTTTGCGTCTCTTCTTTTTGGTTTAGCTTGTGATTGCTGCCAGTGTTATCAAAGGCGCGCTTTAAGTGCGCTTAATTCCTGAAGCGATGCTCAAAACGTGTTGAGCACTTCGGTGTTGTCATCAAGGTTCTAAGGCAATCATTTCCTTGCCAATGAGCCTCTTATGAAGAAGTGACACTAAATAATTGATACTGCACTTTATCATAATTTTTTTTTCAATTTCTTAGGTCATATATTTGTCATTCGTATTTATAATTATTAGTCTTGGACTCAACATATATATTTGTATTCTTTTCTCCCTTTGTGCCTTTTTTCAATAAAGTCCATGCTTTATTTGCGCTTTGCGCATAAAGCCCCCACAGACCTTAGAGCTTTTCTGCGCTTTTCGCCTTTGATAACACTTAATTTGCTGCTGTCGATGATGCTTATGCTTCCCCTTTCCCAGTAAAGTAGTTACACCTTATATATAAAAACTTAAGCTACTTTCTGTTAAGTGGAAACCAAAGGTGTAGTCTAGCGGTCAATAGAGCTGAATGGACCATGGGAGACCAAAATTCAAACTAAGCAGGACCACGTTTGGTGGTTCCCAATTCTATAAGCCTTGATGGAAATGCTATGCTGGATTTCAAATTGTTTTGTTTTGTGCTCTTGTTTCAGAAATTAATCTAATTTTTTGTTTTGAAAAAGTAATTGTGGATATTTGTGTGAGAAAATAAGACAAGAAAGGGGGTTATCAAAACAAATAAGACAAGAAAGGGAGAATTGAACAGAACAGAGCCTACTTATTCCCTCAAGCAATAGGGTATATATAGTTAATGCACAAGTGCTAAAAAGGAAAGTAAATATTCTAACTACTTGATTACAAGAATCGATCTATTTAATTCTAAGTAATCCTAATCGGTAGACAATATCATCTAATATTCTTAACCATTTGGATTTGGAAGATTGATTTGGCTATGTTGTTTTTGTTGAAAAATATCATCAAAGCCCTAAACATCCTTCTTTCATTTTTGAAATCAAAACAAGTTGATCCCAGAATGAAACAGATAGATGCCATTATGGAAAATGTTTAACCCCTTCAACTTTGAGAGAATTGATACTAGAACTGTCAAAAGCATCACTTGGTATATTATAGACTTATTTATCACCTATCTTTTATTTCTGGTCAATGAATGGTGGAGCCAAAAATGTGATTGTTGGAAGTTCGGTCTTTTTTCTTTTTCTTTTTCAATTAAGTAATAATTTATTGATGTTGTTGACAAACCCTGCTATACAAGTCTTGTATGAAAGTGTAGAGGATTGATGTCGATTAAAACAGGAAAGACAAGAATTAAAGATAACAAGTATGGAATGTAGATACGACTAAACTGGAAACAAATAATGAACATTCATGGAAGTACAACTGTCCTAATTAAGCTACAAGTAGAGCAAGCCTTATTGGATACTCTCAAGAGAACAGTAATCCCCTTGAAAATCCGCTTGAATAGTCTTGAAGCAAGAATGAGAATTATCCATTCCCACTGGTTCAATATTCATCAAAGAGGTAAGCTCTTTTTTTACTCTTAGTTAAAAAGTATTTATACTAGGTAAGTCCTCAACTAGGCCTAAAAAGGAAACATACCAAAATTGTTAAGCTTTGACGATTCAACTTCAAAGTGTGGATCTGGTTGCTTTTGTGGAGATGTTTAGTGGCCTCCAGCTTCAGAAGGTTGGAGATCTTCATGGAGATAATAAAGATAGTGGGGCTCTTCAGGGAGATGAAACACATTTTCTGGAGATGTTTGGTGGCCTCTGGCTTCCGAAACATGCAGATATTCGTGGAGGTGATCCAGATAGTTTTTTCAACTCTTCTTCCTTTTTTTGGGTTATTCAATCCACCAAATATAATGATATTTTAATCACTATATGACAAGCATTTGCAAGTGTCCAGAGCTTTCGCTTGAGCCCTTGTGAATGGCCCACATGCTTGTATGCTACTTTGATCTATATCAAGGCCAGGCAAAAACATGTGGCTTTTCAAATAATACCTGTTTATCTGGATCAGAGTAATAGGGATCTCTTGGTTACAATTCAACAAAAGCAAAGTCAGTTTTTCATATATATATATATATATATATATATATATCTGTGTGTGCGTGCGTGCACGCATTTATGCATGTATTACTAACATAGTCTATATGACTGATCTGTTGAACCAACATTTTTTTTTGTGTCGGTAAATGCTGATGATGAGATGGATTTCTAAATAAAATGTCAGTATTCGAACTGAGAATTTTTAAGAGTTTGAGAATGAGCAAAATAGATCTGAGCAACATCACATTACTTCTGATTGTCACAACTCTGCTGTGTTAATTCTTTTGTTCTGAACAAAATCAACAGTCCTGGATTTTTATATGGATTGCTTTTCTGATTGAGCTGTAAGACTGTAAGTTAAAAACATGAAAGATGATTCCTTGATTCTTTTCTTCCTCTTTAGGTGCATGTTTGACTTTCTTTGTTGGACATCACTTCTTTGCAGTGACTCTGAAAAGTTGTACATTGAGTAATGACAGGTTGTAGTCACTATCTGGTATCGTGCGCCGGAGTTACTGCTTGGGGCTAAACACTACACAAGTGCAGTTGGTATGACCCTTGCGTGTTTTTGAACTTTGATAATTGTTGTCCTAAATAAGCAAACATTTTCTTCTTCTTTTTCAACCAAGAGGGAAAAATGTGTTTATGTAGATATGTGGGCCGTTGGCTGTATATTTGCTGAGCTTCTTACTCTAAAGCCACTATTTCAAGGGCAAGAAGTGAAGGGCACACCAAACCCTTTCCAGGTTAATATTTTTATACTCTCCACATCACATTTTATGCTTTTCCTTCTGGAGGTTCAATAGCAAACCTTTTATTCCTTTCTACCGTGTAATTTTCTCATTTTAGTAATCTAATACACGATTCTCGTAATGTAGCTTGACCAACTGGACAAGATATTTAAGGTTCTCGGTGAGCATGAATTTTTGTACATTCTCTGTTTTTCCTTTTCATTGGTTTGAACACTGCGCTAAGTTCATATTGTGTCAGGACATCCCACACCAGAAAAATGGCCAACACTGGTAAACCTTCCGCATTGGCAATCTGATGTGCAACGAATTCAAGGACATAAGTAGTAGGTTCTTTCATACTATTTTTAGTATTAAAAAATTTCTTTTAGCAGTGATTCTCTTGCTATCCTTACCTTGCAATTGGAGTTTCTCATATAAAATTTTTATTGTTTCCCCTGCAGTGACAATCCTGCACTTTATAGTGTTCTGCACATGTCTCCCAAAAGTCCTGCATACGACCTTCTTTCAAAGATGCTTGAGTATGTGCTTATTTCTTAGTTAATGTAACATTGAAAATTTAATGCCTTCAATATGTGCCAATATGCTTGCTAGTTGATGGTATGCTTGCTAAATTTCTAGGGGTGCTAATCTTTGTTTGAGGTGGCACACTTACACATAACTAGTCAAGTGTACGTGCTTTGCACATGTTTATCGTGTTATTACTAATACAAATATAAGTAATAAATTATTGTATGTACTTTATATATATATATATATTGCATTGAGCGAATCAATATAACCATTCTATCTGACCCTTCCACCATCTTATAATTTAGTTAAGCATTGTCGTTTTAAACATATTAAGTGCTGTTACTTTTACAAATATAAAGTATCATCATTTAAACATTATGCACATACGTATGTATAACAATGCAAATAACCTGTTTTGGAATGTGCGACCATTCATGATAGTATTTTTATATGATCTGAAATCTTCTCATTCTAGGGCTATCATGCACGTGATGTCAAGACTCATCATTATGTATCTTTTGAAAATGTGCACCCTCTTTTACAAACTGAATTTAAGCTTGCATATATAACACTTTGAGCTCCGAACTCCCAACTCAAAATTTCGACATAGATAATGCTACCCAGTTTCACATTTATATAGGCCAGTTGCTCGCATGAGTTATTGAAGTGATACTGTACTAGTGCCATATCCCTCTTTGTATGCAAAACATTATTCCTAATATTCATCAGCACACTTTAAAGTCTTAAAATCTCGTGAAATTTTCAGGGTCTCTGCACCAACATTCACTCTCATATAGTCTCCCTCCGTCCTTATTTAAGTGTCTTAGTTTGACTGGGCACAAAGTTTATTAACAAAGACATGCTTAAATCTTGTGCTCTTGAATTAAAGAGATGTGAAGTCATTTAAATCTTGAGGGTTTGAACTTGTCATGTAGGAGGATGGAATTGAAAAACTTACTAAATATAGAAAGAGACTTTCTTTTTGGAACAAACCAAAAAGGAAAGCAAGAGATTTAACTCGGACGGAGATAGTGATGTTGCTAGTCTTATAACCGTTCTATAGAACTTGCTTTTATTTTGTTATAAGTATCCTTTTATTCCACCACACTTCTGTAGCACTTTTACATTTTCGACCATCATGTTTTTATTTTGCCTAAACTTTTTTTTTTTACTCTATCATAACATTCTTCTGTAACCTTGAGCTTAGATATATGATTATCTGCATTTGGGCACAACCAATTCCATTTAATCTCACCTAAACGTCTGTATATTTGTTTTTTTTTGTAAAAGAAACGAAAGATGCTTGGAAGGAAATTTGAGTTTTTTTATCTTATAGAAATGTACATGCTTCTACCGTTTATATTTTTGGTGTTAAAATCTAATTGTTAGTGATGCAGACCGTATGATTGCGTTTGTGAATACACTACATACATAGCTATATAAGGAAAGCTTTTGTATTTGTATATACTAAATACTTGTCTTAGAATTTTTTTTGGTGATATACACAACGGAAGTACCAACCCTCTCTCTCTCTCTCTCCCTTTTAATATATATAATGCGATACTAAATTATAATACTGGCATGTTACTTATATTCCAGAAGCTTCTATTTAATTGTGATTAACATAATATTTAACGTCATCTAATGTGCAGATATGATCCTCGTAAAAGAATAACAGCAACACAAGCTCTAGAGCATGAGTATGAAATCTTCATCTCAATCCCCCCCCCCCCCCCCCCCCGCGCCCCAACCTTCACAGCCACACACTCTTTGCTCTATTGCGTTAATTCACTTACAAATGGTTGTGAAAATGACGGACACATTTCATCACAAAATAAATTTGTAAAATGGTTCAGGCATATTCACTATTAAAAATTCACTACTAAATATTTACTAGTTGATTATCTTATACATCTCTGATCAAAAGAATAGACAAAGTTGACTACTTCTCTATTTTTTTGTTGTCACCTGGCCAGATAACAAATTTACCGTTTTGAATTTTGATGTCCTATGTCCATCCTTTAAGCGCTGGGCTTACTCTACTAATCAATTGTTGAGCGTATTTAGTGAACATATTTTCACTATTTAATTGCATTTGCCATATCATAATCTTTTTTAGCTGATCTTCCAGCCAATCAAGGCCTCTTGCTAATAATAGATTTTCTCCTTGTAGTGGGAAAGTTGGCATAGTGTTTGGCCTAGTGAAGTTTGGGGTTATTCCTTTTACCAAAAACTTTTCATGATCTTGAAAATTTCTTGAAATGAAAATATGAAATAGAGGAGTCCTATTTTTGCTTTGGTTTTACAATTTCCAATATGGTTCCTAAAGTAAAAGGTGAAGGCCTAGAGTTTCTTTTGATATCTTGTAGTAATAGGTGGTGCCTCCCAAGTATCATTGTTATAGCTTTCTGCTTTTTCTGGTTTATAGGTACTTCCGGATGGAACCTCTACCTGGCCGCAAGTAAGTGCACAGCTTTCCAGTCTATTGGCATACAATTGATCTATAGGAACTTCATTAAGCTAGTTTAATAAGGTCATATGCTACAACACTAAAAACTATTATGAAAATTGAGCTTTACAAGTTCTACCTTTCCATATCCATTTAGACATGCTGTAAATTTAAACATATATAACCTTTTAGATCATTGATTCCAACAAAGAGAATATTCTATTCACGTTCACATTGGCGCTTTCCTACGCTTGTGCTTAAAACTGGCAGTACACTTATGGCCATTTGTCTTTGATTTTCTACTAAATAGGTACATATATGTAAGTACGAAGTTGCTATACCAGTTTTTGGAGAACTGTTTAGACTGTTTGAATGAAGATGTGATTGCTTACTCTTTCATTATTTCTATGTGAGCGATGTATATTATACCCAAGAAACCAAATGCAATAAATGTCAGAGATCTGACACATTAGTTTAGTGGGCCAGCATATTAAAATTCTTTGCAAGGTGCTTACAGAGAGGATTAAACCGGTGATGGATAGCGTATTGTCACAACCCATTTTGCCTAAGCTGCGATGGCACCTAGCCCAACCATTACATGAATCCAAAAGGTATTCCAAATCACAACATGATTGATAGGAGACAAGAATAAATCTTAATGCAGTTTATATCATATGGAAACAATTGAAATTCATGTAAAGTTGCTAATTTGACTTTCTAATAGGCTTGTTATTTCCGCAACTCAGGGAGAAAAATTGGATGATTTAATTGTTAATAGTTAGAAGGGAGATTGCTTCTTTAGAATATACAATAGTTTTTGTTTCCCCTACAATGACCCCTATTACAAAATAAGTGTGAATAATCATTACAAATCTCTAGGGACTGGTGGTATAAGTTATGAGTATCTAAGATAATGGATGTCTCAACAATGTGGTACTATCTGGAATAATGAACAACATATAAAAATAAAAGAGACTCCAAGGTGCTGTGGATCAGATCAAGTAGCTCAACACGACAATCTCGTGTACTCCTAGGTTCTGCAGGAGCATGAATCAGTATCTGATCTGCTGCACATAGTGCAACGTTGTAGTATGACTACATTTACAAGTATTCATTAAGTATTATCATCCAAAACCTAATAAGGTAGTGCGTAGGTTAGTTTGAAATACTCACTTAAGAAAACTTGATAGAAGTATAGAACAGTACAACAAAATAATAACAACATACTCAGTGAAATCCCACTAAATAGGGTTTGGTAGGGTAGGTTGTACGCATGCGTTACCACTACCTCGTGGAAGTAGAGGGGCTGTTTCCGAAAAACCTTCGGTTCAAGTGCATCAAACTTAAGTTACAAAAGAAGAAAACAATGAAGAAAATATAACAGTTTATACGAAAAGCAGTGTAGTGCGTACAAGAAAATAACAATACCAACAGCAAAATAGTGTGATAATTGTAACATCTTACATAATATATGATGATAGATAACAAAGGAAAACCAACACTCTATCCCTATTAACTTCGACCCTGATACCCGACCTCCACTCCTTATCTATGTCATGTCCTTGGTAATATGAAGCTATGTCGTGTCTAATTACCTCTCCCAACTACTTTTTTCGGCCTATCTCTGCCCTCCTTGTGCCACCTACAACTAGCCTCTTGCACCTTCTCATTAGGGCGTCAGTGCACATCCTCTTCATATGACCAACCCTCTCAGTTTCGCTTCCCTCATCTTGTTCACTACAGGGGCCACTCCCACCTTTTCCCGAATAACCTCATTCCTAATATTGTTGCTCCTAGTATGCCTACACATCCATCACAACATCCTTGTCTATGTAACATGCATTTTTTGAACATATGAGTTTTTGACTCGCCATACAACAAGAACAGTCTAACCACCATTATTTAGAATTTACCTTTTAAGTTTAGGTGGCGCGTATTTATCACACAACAAAATAAAGTATGCACAAATACAACATAGTAAGATATACACAAATATATTCATTATTTCCTTGAGTTTACAATAGATACCTTATATAGTTAGGGGTGAAGATGTAAATATGATGATTCTTACCGGGTTAACAGTAAAACTGAGTACTCCGCCCCGCATTGATAAACCATTAATTATGAAATTCTAATTTGTTCACCAATAGTTTACCCGGTAATCAAATACCATTAAAACAATAAGCTAATTTTGTAGTTGGATTATCAATTATGGTTAGGTTTTGAACACCCTACTAAAACTTGATTGGAGAAGGCATACGCCAATTCTATTGGCCTTTCTTATATAATATACATTTCATAAGATGGAGTTTAGTGACAGCTGGATGATTGGATGAGATTCTGCATCATGTCGTCACATTTGCCATTGTTTTCATTCACTCGCATGTTGGATTTTTCTATTCCAAAGAGGATTGAGACAGGGCAGCTTTTTGTTGCCTACCTTTTTTTTATGGTAGTGGAGACACTTGGGGAGTTAAACTGGCTGAAGGGATGTAAGATTTCTGATAATGTTGGAGGTAGTGTGGATCTTTCTAATATTTTGTACGTTGAGGACACATTGACTAACTGTGACATCGATAAGTAGCAAATCCTTTGATTGAAGGGGATTTTAATTAAATTTGAGTCTGTGTCAGGTTTTCATATAAACCCAAAGAAAATTAGTTCTTTTTCGGTTGTAAAGAAATAGACTTGGGCCTAATTCAACTCCAAAAGTTATCTTGGGGGATGGGGAGGATTGTCTAAGACCATATAAGGAGTCCATGTATCCATCCCACAAATGATGTGGGGCTCAACATCGATAACTGCAAATTAGTAGGTTGAAGATTTTGCTGACGCAATGGAATGCACAGTTAGAAAATTCTCCACTATGTATCTTGGTTTATCTCTTGAGGCAAGGTACAAATATCATAGCATATGGAAGGTAGACACTAATAACTGTGAGAAGAAAATTTTGTACCTGGAAAAACAGTACCTATCACAAGGTGGTTGAGTGACATTGTTAAATTATATTTTTTATGACATTCCGATCTAGTTAATGTCATTGATTGCCATTCCAGGTAAAATGGAGCCTTAGCTAGATAAATAAGAAGTTTTTGTAGGAAGGGAACCAAGATATCAAGAAAGTACATTTGATCAGCTGGGAGAAAGATTACTATGCAAGGAAAACAGAGGATTGGGTTTTTGGAGATTTAGGGCTACAAAATAAGATCACAGAACCAGACAGAGTAATGGAGGAAATCATACAGTTTTATGTGAAACTGCATTTTGAAGCAGAAAGATGGAGACCTGATGGAAATTTAGTGAATTCTCCTTCAATATTAGAGGAAGAAATATTGCAGCTACATGCCAATTTTGAGGAGTAGGAAATTTATAAATGCTTGAAGTTATATGCCATTGATAAAGCCTCAAGACATGATGGTTACACTAAGGGTTTTTTCATCAAATGTTGGGAAATTCTTTAACAGGACATCATTGAGGCCTTCCATTCTATGAGCAGGAAATGTTTGAGAAGAGTTTTAATGCCCCCTATATTGTCTTGATCCCAAAGAAGAAAGGAGCAAAGGAACTTAGAGACTTTAGACCAATAAGCTTGATAGGCAATTTCTATATGTTGTTGTCTAAAGTTTTAACAGAAAGAATCAAAAGGGTAATGTACACGCTGGTAGACTCCCAACAGATGGCTGTTAACACCCCTTTAGTCTACCAACGGTTTACACATGGGAGATTTAAGGACATCAGAAAGTAGATTACTTTAGCTTATAAGTTATTTAGTTGTATGCAGTAGATTACCACAACTTTTAAATATTTATGTTTTCATTTACTGTCTAGCAGTTATTGCAGTAAGGAGGTTATTCCTCCACTTTCTCATTCAGTTGTAGTAGGAAGTTACTTTCTTGTTGTATTTATGTATTTGAATTCAGTGAAATGTTAGGCAGAAAATTACTAAGTCTTGGAGTACTTAAAACTCAAGAGATTGCAGGTTCTCTCTAATGAACCAACGCCATAGGTCATAGGAAGAAAACGTTTGATTTTACACTACAACGCCCCATAACCAGATCCATATCAGGGGACCATAACAACTTGGTATCAGAGATGGCTGTTATGGGAGATCAAATTCAACATCAACTGGCAAAATTGGTGAACTTATTTCAAGAAGAACGTGCAGCCAATATAGCGAGACAGGAAGCAATAAATGCTCGCTTAGATGCACTCACAAAGGACCTAGCGAATTCGAAGGTTGATATCATACCAATCAAAATTGGGGCTGGAAGGGTAAAAGTGGAGTGGTAGAAGGGTCAAAATCAGACGCAGAAGGAAGTTCCTTCATTCTTAGGTATACTGGCCAAGGAGACCCTTTGGGATGACTGAACAGATGCGATCATTTTTTTCGACACCAACAGACTCTAATGAAGAAAAAGTTAGTCTTGCTTCTTTTCATTTAGAGGGGAATGCACAACTTTGGTTTCTTCAACTAGAGACAGATATGCCTGAACCGTCTTGGGATGAGTTCAAACATTACTGTAACCTTCGTTTTGGGCCACCAATCAGAAGTCAGAAGTTAGGAGAATTGGCTAAGTTGCACCAGATTGGGTCCGTGGTAGATTTCCAAGAAAAGTTTGAGCAGTTAGTCTCCCGGGCTAGTACACTCCCACAATTGCAGAAGACAACTTTATATTAGTGGTCTTGTGGATCATATAGCGATTGAGGTTGAGTTGCATAATCCTCTAGATTTGGCTACGGCGATGAGTTTATCCCGGCTTTATGAACGCAAGGGACAACCTTTTCATTTGCAACTATTAGATGGTCGCAGATCCAAAACATTAGATTTCTCACCTCCAAAATGCACCAGATTTGTAAGGAAATTGACTAGATCTGAGATGGATGAAAGACGACTTAAGGGTCTCAGCTTCAACTGTGATGAAGTCTTCACTCGGGGCCATCAGTGCAAGAAGTTATTTTGGATCGATTCCATAGACGAAGAGGAAGAATCTCTGGAACAGGAGACAAATTCT